AAGTTTATTCATCAAAAGGCAAACAATGTTGCATATGTATCATAAAGTGCATTGAAGCTTCCAGATTAACGGCAATAGATATGTATGAAGTTGCAGCAGAAAAAAAGATGCTGACAAAAAGTCATACCATACTCTTGAAAAAAGACCTGCCGCTTCCTCTTTCACCATATATCTTCTTTGCTTATCTGTCGTCGCTACAAAACCAAGCACAAGCAACAACATGCAACAGCTTCAGTCAGTGTTGTTCACTCTCACTTGATGAGCATAATAAATTTTTAGTTGAAACCTATTTCATCTCATTGTCAACATTAGAAACTATGACTGTTTCTACAAAGTCTTAACCATTAAATGTACCTCTCATCATCTTTATGCACGATGATGGGAAAATAAAAAGAGATGAAGAGACAAAAAAGGAGAAAGTGTAGAGATCTATAACAGCAGCCAACAAGATTCATCAAAACTCAGAGATATTTTCCGTCATCAATTAACAATGCGTTTCAGCATGGAATTTTCTGAAACAGCAACAACAACAACGGCAACAGCCCATGCTGCAAGGAACTATAGCAACAACAACGAAATTGATGGACAGTAAAAATCATAGTAATGGTAATGGTAACAGTAACAGTAACAATAACAACAACAATACCAATAAAAGTACCAACAACAATAACATTAAAAATACTAATACCAATAATAATAATAATAATAATAATAATATTAATAATAATATAATTATTAATATTAATATTAATAATAATATTATTATTACTAAAAATAATAACAATAATAACAATAGTAAGCGTATAAGCAAATAAAAAATTATGATAACAACAACTATACTAGCAAATTCAGTGAAAATTGCCACTACACCAATATGAAGCAAATTGAAAACAAAATAATATTTTTATAGAAATTCGCTTAATTAGTCACTTGAAGATTAGGAAGAAACTAAATTTTTAGCTGCAACTGACGGTGGTCAACACCTCTATATCGCAGCACTATACCAACGGCAAAAAACTGCCGATGCTTTCTCTTTTTGCTGAAAGGTTCAGTTGATCAACAAACACAATCCACGCCTATCTCTATTGGCATTACATACGTAATTTGTGATTCTCCTTCTTTTGCTTCGTTTTGACCTCATTAACTGAATTGGACGGCGTCCTTCACTGTCAACCATCGTTTCCTCCACGAGTCGAAATTGGCTATACCACTGCATTTTATAAAGTGATAAAACTGCAAGTTCCAGGTAACTAGACGTACAAATTTGTTGTCGTTGTATGCTCATTATGTGGTCGTAAAATTTGTGCCCTTCTTGCGTGAAGAATATCACTTTAACGGCTGTCAGATGAATGCGGTTTCTGGTCGAAAGATGACCAAAAAAGATTACCACGGAGTGTAACAATAAATCTAAGCAACAAATCGACCAATGTAAATATTTGCAGTTCAAGCTGTTTCTGTATGAACATTGTCACGGCAAAGCATTATTACTAATAGAATCTAGAAATGAATTGAAAGTACTGTTTTGAAACGGCAAGGAAACTCCATGGCGGCGGACGAACAATAGCTATTATAGCGAAAGTCATCGAGCCAGCTTCCAGGAAGCACCCATACTCAACTTGTGGGTACCTGACGTGTCAATGGGGCAATGTTTAGCGTTTTTAAGTTCGCCATTTGCTGTCACAGTTGACCAAGTTCTCATTATCGCGGCCAAAAAACTACATATACCGTACATCAATCTTGATACAATCAAAGAAAAAAATGCTGAATTTTTGAAGTTCAGCTCTATTAAAATGCAGCCGATATATTTGTATAACAGTGAAATAAGAACCGCACACAACTGCACAACTCTAAAAAGGTTTGTCAAAACTTTAATGAAATTCTTGTTTTCCAGCGACATTTTCATTTACCATGGCAAATGCCCTAGTTAAAAACTGAATGGTTGTAAATATGCAGAGGCGGCCATAAAGGCAGGAAAAAAATTCTTTGAAAAAGTTACTATTCAAATTAAAATAACTTATTACTCAACTGGTTTAAACTACCGAGTGTTGCTGCATTTTGAAGGACATTTTCTGTACTTATTATGCACACAAGGAAGACACAAAATAATTACATACGGCGCGATTCGAAGCAACCGTATGGTACAAGGTGCTTTTTAACACTTCAAAGAAAGCTTGGAAGAAAATAAAAAAGGCGTTAAAAGAAGCTTAAAGCCTAAGTTTGTCTAAGCCAAAAACTGTTTTCTCTAGTCTTATTTTTTAGGCGCTACATTTTCACATTCTCTAGTGGTCTTGACTGTAATTAAACATATTATAGCTATTCAGAAGCTAGAAACAGCAAATTAGCGAAGAATTCTGCATCTGCAAAAACCTGACAGGAGAAATTTCTAAAAGGAAGTCTATAGCAATGGAGGACACAGTGGTGCACTGGCTGTGAGAAGTAAGCTTTGGAAAGTTCGCTGTATAAAATGTATGAATCAAACACGTGTCGTGAAACCATCTGTAATTCAGTGCTCAAATCTAAATTAAATTTCCTGACAAATTTGGGCTTTGTGACAGAAGGGTCCAAAGAGAGCCCAGTTTTTAAAAAGTATTTGGCTGTTGTGGCTAAGGTTTCAATTGCGTACCGAGACTTGAGTAAAGGATATTACTCGAAAGCAATTTACTAAAGAAACCTCAGTTTGGTGTTTCTTGGTGGCCGCAGTAAAAATAGTGGATTTTTTTTGGTTTTGCATTTGGTGCCCACTTGTAGCTCTTGATACCGAAAAAGCTCAATATCCAAATTTGCATACGCTATAGAGCAAAGAATTTTACACAAAATGTGTTTTTTTCCAAAAAATTTAAAAAAACCTTGTTTTTTTTGTTCGATGTTTATTTGAAATTTTATTTTTCTTGTATACAGGTGGTTTTTGACAGAATCAAAACGTTAAATGTGCTTTTAAAAG